TGGAAAAATAGGAAGTGAACACCATTTCTTTTTATTCACTGTTTTCTAAAGCAGTAATGTGTTTTTTAATCCCTTCCTTCAGGTAACAAATATGTTAAGCACCTGCTAATGCCAGGCATTCTGTTAGGTGCTCAAAAGCCAGCTGTCTAGCAATTGGTAGTACCACATGGGCAACAGTGATACAAGATACCACCTAGTCCTGTGGTAGGTGGCAAGGACAGCAAGGGGGTCTTGTCTCTGCTGAGCTATGGAGCAGGGGTGGAAGACCACATGGTACAATGTGTGCAACATTAACACAGAAATGGCACGACTGTGAGAAGAATCAATTAAGATACGTAATCGTTATGTGCATGAGTGACTTAACTGTAAGAATCAACTTTTAACGAGACAGATACTACCTATCAGGTCCTGTTCCAGATACAGTATTTATATAAATACACAAACCTAAACCAAACTTCATTTTCTTTGTAGGTGACCTGTATCTGTGCCAGCACCTGCAAGGCTTGTCCTTCATGTAATTCAAAGATTTAGAAAATATTCACCAAACAATTGTTCATATTAGCAGAACAGCAGAAATGAAGAAAGCACCTTTGGAATAACACAGCCATAAGGAGACTGAGGGGTGTCGGGCTGACAGATGGCACGTTCTGGGGAAAAACAAAGAACTAGGGGAAGAGGATACACAGTTATCATCCCTCCCAGGAGAAAGGACTTCCACAAGGAAGGAGAGCAAAGACTGGGGGAAATAAGTGGAAAAATGTGAGAATATGTACTATTGGCTTTGCCTATTTATTCTTCCAAAAGGAAACAGGAGGATACACCAGAAAGTAACAAAACTGTTTCCTAGAAGGTAGGCTGAAACAAAAGAGAAGGGATTGGAAGGGAATGAAACTTCTCTGACGAAACTCTGTACAGAGCCTTGACATGTAAGCCGTATTAAATGTTTTATATAGTTAACAAATTAAGTTAAATTGATAAGGACGGAGGGACCCCAACACTGAACACAAACAGAAACAAAGAAAAAATGAACGTGCCCGCATGTGGGATGGACGGAGTGGCCACAGGGACGGAGAGGAGATTCTATGGGGCTTCTGAACGTCCTGTGAGCGTCCCCGCGGGGGCGCCCCCACACCAGGAGGGAACGGCTCCCGGCAGCACTACAGGCGTCCCAGAAGGCGATGAGCACCCTGCGCGAGCAGGTGCACATGCTGCGTTAGGACCGCAGATGGCAGCACGAGCCGTGGCTTGGAAATCTTAGCCCGAGGGTGAGAGGCAGAGGAGGGAATTATCTGCTGAATAACAAAGTCTGTGCGCATGGGAAAATCAGTGCTTGATGGGAAAGTTAATGTATCCCATGGGAAACAGTGTATAACAGAGCAGTCGGTGCACGGGGAGAGTGACTGTACTGTGGGAAAGTTAGTGTACCACAGGGAAGTTAGTGTGCCACAGGACCGTTAGTGTGCTGTGGAAAGTTAGCACACCCAGGGAAAATTAGTGTACTATGGGGAGGAGTTAGTGCACCACAGGAATGTTAGTGTGCTATGGGAAAACTAGTGTACCACGGGGCAGTTAGTGCACCACAGGGAAGTTAGCGTACCATGGGAATGTTGGTGGGCAGTGGGAAGTTAGTTGCAGGGGAAAATTTTCTTCTATGAAATCCTCAATTATCTGAGAGCCTGGGGTGCTGCCTCCCAGTCTCTGCCATCCCTGCTAATGAGAGAGCTAGCAGTAATGGGTCCCTCTGCATACCGCCCTAGTGCCTGGCACATGTAAGGATGTAGGCACTGCCAGCTGCCCCCTCTGCCTGTGTGCTGCTGTTCAACCACCGGGTCCCATGTGCTGCCCCAGCTCTTTCAGCAGCTGCCCTTTCTGCAAGCGCTCCCTCCCACACAGATCGGACCCTGAACCTGCACCTTGCTCCAGCCTTCTCTATGCATTTAGCTCCTGCCCACTGTGCCTAGTTTCCTTAAACGCTTTCTCGCTGAACCCCACTTCCCTTCTCATGGCTGCCTATGCTTTCCTTGGCTTTCCACTAGGAATTCACAGGGGCAATGATTTCTGCCCTCTGTAAGCACTGCTCCATGGACCCTGCTAATCTCTGTTCCTCCTTAACCTGCCAACTCCCCTCAGCCCCCTAAGATGGCCAGGGTTTATTTCTCTCTTGTTTGTGTGCAAGGGTTTAAATGGTTCTTGACTGTACACTCAGTTCATTGGTGTGGTGGCTAAAAATCCTACATAACTACAACTAGGGGACAAGTTGACACATACACCTACCTACCTACCTGCCTACCCACCTATCTACCTACCTATTTATTTTGGGGTGGTGCTATTCCTCCTTTATTTTTTTAAACAAACAGAATGGTGTTTTTATTTAAGAATTCCAAGTTACAATAGAATTATGTTCAGATATTTTCTTTTACATTATTTATTTTCATTAATTATGTCAAGGTACATAAAATAAAACGCATAAATCTTAAGTGTGCAGCTCTATTAATTTTGTCACTTGGGTACACTCACGTGATCACTGCCCAGATCAAGAGATCCAACACTCACTGATTTTCTTTCCACCCCCGCCCCCCGCCCCTACCCTGACGGCGACCGCCTGCCTGTTCCCCGCGTCTCTCTGTGCTATCTGTCTGTCCGCTTTGCTTTCTCATACTGCTCTCAGTAACTCCAGGTTTCTCAGGGGCATTTGTTCAGTGCAGGCCTGGTCACTGTGTCCCAGCACCCCTTCCTCAGGCACTCTGGGCTGAGGCACCTGGGAAGCAGGAGTCCCTGCCCTTGGCCCTGCATGCTCTGTCTGTGTGCACCCCACCTCCTGGCCTCCAAGGCTCTGCCCGTCCAGCAGGGACCCAGCGCCTTTGAACAGAGGAGGGAGCCTAGAGAGAAGGGATACAGGGACACACTCCATCCTGCCTCTAAGACAGCAGCAGGGACGTGTAAAGGGCTGCCCAGGCCCAGGTGGCCAAGCCTGTGAGTGGCGATAGCTGGGTCCTACCCCACGCCGTGCTCCACACCGTCCCGTGTCCGTCCATGCAGAGCCCCAGTGTGTATCTCACATCTGTCCTCAAGATCAAGGCGGACACCCTTTTGGGCTCCTACGTGTCATTGCTGCCGCATTTTGCATCTCCACAGGTATCCTGGAGGAGGACTGCAGGCAGCTCAACAGACGCTGGTTATAACCGCAAGCATCCCTGCTCTGTGGTCCTGATTAATGTCGTCGTTATCAGCTGGTTTCCTAAACTAGAAATTTACAAATCATGGCCTCCTTCTTGCACCTCTTCTCCCACAAACACATCAAACTCCACACTGGGAATACCCTCATGTTTGACCTTTCCCAGTCTACTGACTGGTACTCCTCGGTCAGGACCTCACGTCTTCTTAGAAAAATTCATGGAAAACCCACACGTTGGGGACAGATGGGTACATGGGTTTCACTACACTAACTTCTGATCTGGGATGGAGGCATTTTCACACTTGGCTCGCTTTTGTATTTTTAGACATCACCAAGACAGTGAATGTTACAGCTGTCACGTCTACTGTGGAGCACTAAGATTTAAACAAAAGTAGTTACTTTCATTAAAATCATTAGAATGTTTCTATTTGTGGAAAGACATGATGTCTTTATTTTTCAAAACTGATTTGAATATTTTCCCTTTTGAACTCCAGAGTCACTTCCCTTCGCCCTCTTCCTCTGTCTGCACCCAGCCTAATTCTTCCGATCCTGATCCCACATGGTTTCCTCGTTTCTATGAAGCCCACTTGTAAGGGTGTCTGGGAAGGCAGCCCCGTGTGGTCCTGCATACAAGGACGCAGGGAGAGGCAAGGCCCCGAACCCATGTGAGCCCCATGCCAACTCAGGAACTACACTTTGCATCGTGAGATGCTCACAACCAGTGAGAAGGCAGCACAGGCCAAGCCAGGGGCTCAGGGGACGCAGCCCTTGTGGGTCATCAGTCGGGAACATGAAACTGCACAAGGTCACAGCAGATTATCCAGCGTGACTTCTTCTTCCAAATTTTAATTGGTGTTTCCTTCATCCAGAATTATGAATCATTAAAATGTGCTTGCTTGTGTCCACCCTGACTGGACCCCACATTGGGGTCCTAAGCAACAGATGGGGCGGCTACTGGTCCCACACAGGGTGCCCTCAGGGTTGTTCTGTGAGGCCTCTCTCTGGCCTGCAGACACTGGCCTTTCCTCTGTGACTGTGTGTGGGGAGGTCTCTGGGGGTCTCTTTGTCTCTTGTAAAGACACCAGTCCTACCAGACTAGGGACCCACTACTCTTACGACCTCATTTAACCATAATGCCTCTCTATTTCCAAATACAGTCACTCTGGGGGTCAGGGGCTCAACATATGAATTTGAGTCTGCGACACAAGGTTTCTATGTTAGTTTAAGCAGCACTTAGTAATATTTCAGCTGAAGGCAGCTATGGGTGGAAAATTGCCGAATTCCATGAAGGGGATGTGAAGGGAAGAGTGCAGAGTCAGTGTGCAGGCACACTGCAGCATGTCAGCCCTAAGAGGCCGGGCAAGGGCACAGCTGCCATGAGAAGTGGGTCAGAGACTCCCTGCCAAGGTGGCATGATATCAACGACAAACTTCTGATGAACGTACTGTGACGCTTTAACATGTATTCGACAAATGAAAGGGGTTCTTTTTGGTTGAAGTGTTTTAAGTAATAGAATCAGATTAACATTTACAATTCAAAGACAATTAAGACTAATTTACGACTATTTCAAGAAGGCTGCCTTTGAGGACTTTATGAACTCTCTTCAGTTGATGTCTTGTCACCAGATGTGGAGGACCTGCTCTGCCCCAGCTCAGAACTCGGGAGGCACAGCTTCTCAGATCCAGCACACTGCAAGCGAAGGGCTGCACGAGGAGCGGGGAGCTCATCTCTGAAGCTACACACACTAATTAGACTGACTATGGCCATAAGAAAATATGTACTTGTATACTCAGAACTTAAAATGAAACAGAAAGGAGGAATCATGGGTAGTTTTCAGTACGCCCTGTAAAGCTATAATAACTTGTCTTTTTATTGCAAAGATAGGTTTGTTTTTGTCTAAGCTAACCCTATAGTAAAGCAGCATTTTGGTAGTAAAGTGGACACATACCTGATACTCGCCGATCAAACCTTTTCGGAATTGGAACTGCAAGACAAAGAAGCAATATTTAGGCATCATTATATCACGTGACACCATTTTTTTGCTCCCCTTTTGCCAAGATCTTTGACAATAGAACTAAGCACCTCAATACCAAACCTGGGTCAGTTCATACTCGGTCATAATCTGCACGAACAGCCATTCTCTGCAATCATATGAAGACTACGTAGAGAATAACATCTCTTTGAAAACGAGCTCTTTATAAGTTCAGTGTCCTCCAGGTGGCAATTTTGTTTCTGCTCACATTCACGTGGCATCTGATTTGTGTCCACCACATGAGTACGAAGACAGCTGAATTTACTGGTCATGTTATGACATCAAATACTAGTTAAATTTTCTTCTTTAATATTCTTTAAAGATGATTCCAACACCTGCTAGATAGTAGCATTTACATTTCATTTTAAAATAAGTGAATGAGTATTACACCTAATGAGAAATAAGTTACCGTTAAATCACACTGCCCCCCATGTGGGTGGGTTTTCTCATGCCCAAGGGCAGTGTGTGCATGAAAAACGGCACCACATGACTTCAGGTTGAAAAAAAGAAAATACAAAAGTTTTCCCTTTGCCAGTTTTTCCCTACTTTTCAGCTATCATTCCTTCTGTGTGAGGATCATCTAAATTCTCACTACTGGACTCTGTCATTTCAGTAAGTCCTTTGTTTTGTTTTTTCACCATCAAACCTTAATCTGATTATTTTTAGTAGTGAAAATATATATATAATATACCGTCTCATCCTCCAAAATAGGGAAAGTTAAGGATCAGTTTTAAAAAAAATGAAGGCGGCGCGGAGAGCCACGCCCGACTGAAGGCGGCTTCCGGAAGGAGCGCAGCCCCAGGCGGGGGCGTGACGGGGCGACGCCCACCTGCGCGCGCACCTGCTCAGGGCCGGGCCTCCGCGACAGCAGGCGGCGGCTCGAGGGGGCAGGCATGGCCAACGGGGCGTGCCCGCGACTGTCCCGCGCCACCTCCTCCTGGAGGAGCGGATTAGACGAAATGGGCCCGTCTGGCACCACAGAAAGATGGTGAATTCGGTTGGACAACTAGACGCAGGGGCCTCGGCCGCGCCATGCGCTGCAGCAGAGCTCTGGGGGTGTCCGTGGCGCACAGCCCCCCATCCGGGCCTTCAGACCCGACCACACGTCAGCGTACAACCTGGGGTCACGGAACACATGAAGCAGCTGAGCACGGGTGCTATCGGGACGCCTCCAACAAAGGGTTAGATATCAAGATTGCACAACTATTATGAAATAAAGTCAAAGACAAAAAAGGACTCAAAAGCATAAAAAAAGAGAATAAGATACAACTAAAACAATCAGGGAGATTTAGAAAAAACAAAATTTAGAGGAAAGAAAAATGCAGTTACTGAGATTAAAGATTATAATGCAAGGCACCCTTTCTTGGAACATAACACAATAAAATGCCGGAAAAAAATCATTGTAAAACAGCACTACCAACATCCTACCGCAACAACATTGACTGAAATGTGCGGATGTAAATCGCAAGGGAAACTAGCGCCTGGAGAGGAGTGAAGGCAAGGGCCCGGCGCACCGACTCACGGAGCCCCGACAGCAGCCGGGAGGGAGGTGCACGGCCGCAGGCGCCTGCATTTAAAAAGGAGAAAGACCTCAAATAACCTGATTGTACACCTGATTGTACACCTTAAGGAAGGAGGAAAAATAAAGAGCAAACCGAGTGGACAGAAACTACAAAACAGCAAAGAAAAATACCAAAAGTTGATGGAGCTTAAAGTTGGCCTTTTGAAACGATCAACAAAAGGAAAGAACTGCTGGCTAGACTTAAGAAAAAAAGATTCCAATTACTAAAATCAAAACCACAAGTAGAGACATGACAACCCAACGTACAGAAACAAGGACTAAAGCATCATACGAAATGTGTGCCGACTGGGACACCCAGACAAGGCAGACAAACCCCTACAAAAACACAGCTTCCAGAACTGACTCAACAAACAGAATACCTCAGCAGACCTACAAGCAAGTAAGGAGACGGAACTGGTAACCCAGAACTTCCTAACAAAGAAAAGCCTAGGGGTCTTCACAGTAAATTCTACTGAACATTTAAAGAATTAACCTTTCCCAAACGCTTCCAAAAGAGCTGGAGAGGGGGACCCTTCCTAACTCATTTTATGAGGCCAACACTGCCCTGATACTAAGCCAGAGGCACAACAGGAAAAGATCATATCTTATTTTGAATATAGACACAAAAGTCCTCAGAAAGGTAACAGTGCACCAAACCCAGCAATATATTCGAGGGATCATACACCATGACCGAGTGGGGTTTACCCCAGGAATGCAAGGGCGGTTCAAGGTAAGAATGCAAGCAGTGGGCACCTTCCTAAAGCAGGAAGGGGGACCTACACCACCACCTCGATGACGCGGTGATGCTGAGAAAGCGCCTCCAACAGCCACCACGCTCCATGCTGGAGATGAGCTGGGGGAGAGGGGGCGCCCCGCATGGCGGGGGCCTCTGTGCCCACCCGCGGAGCCAAGGAATGGGGCAGGATGCCTGCTTTTGCTACTGCTACTGGACCTACTTCTGAAAGCTTCAGACAGAGCCATCAGGCAGGAAGAAATGAAACCCGAATCAGAGCAGGAGAAGTCAAGTCCTCTGCAGAATGACATGATCTCACAGGTAGCGAACCTAAAGGAGTCCACAAACAATTGTCAGACCTTTTAAGTGAAGACGGCAAAGACGAAATGAACACCCAAACTGAACTCCCACACGACCGCAGCAAGCAGCCCCAAGGGAATGCTTTAGAAAGCCCGTTCACAGCAGCAAAAGAATCGAGTGTTTAGGGAAAAAAACAACTACAGAGGCGAAAGAGTTATGCGCTGAAAACTACAAAACATTGCTGAAGTAAATGAAAGCCGTCCGTGGCCCCGGAGAAACCGGGAGCGTGCGCAGAGCCTGGGGATGCACTTGGTGCCCTGGGGCGCACTGCCACACCAGTTCGTTGTGTGCTGCGTGAATCTCATCTGTTTTTAAAAAATCATGCTATGTGAAAGAAGCCAGGCTCAAAAGACCACATATTATATGATACTAATTACATAAAATGCCCCAGAAAAGCAAAGCTAGAGAGCCAGGCGTAGGTGAGTGGTTGTCTGGGCTGGGGCGGGTCCGAGAGTGGCTGCAAACGGGTCCAGGGGCCTCTGTGGGGTGACGGCTGCACAACCCCGTACATTTACTGAACACAGCTGACCTGACTGTGGTAACAGCCGATGGGCCAACACATCCTAGAGTATAACAAGGCCAAGACTCAGTAGGGCTGAGGTACAATAGAAAGAAAATAATCACCACACCCTTTATTCATTTGGGGTTACAGGCAACTGTGAAAAGTATTTGAAAACCATGTTTTATTTGAAGACTCATGTTCTATTTAAACTTTAAAAAATTTAGCTCTGTAAGTAAGATTTTCTAACTCTGAGAACTTGTCTTCTACAGACAGCAAAAACTTGTCTGATCTGCTAGTCACAGTGATCACACTGGACATAACACCACACATAGTCCAGCACACATACAGACAGGAGACGAGGCAGGGGTATGATTCCAACTGGAAAGGAATGGGGTACCTTTTTTGGATCCTGGATTTAGAGGGCAAAAGTCCATCTGAGTAGAGAGTTGGGAAAGAGGGCCTCAGTGCTTTGGGGATTGACAAACCACAGTCTCCACAAGGTTTTATGCGGTGTAGGCAGCTGCTATGAGCCTCACTGCAGATCCTGAGCAAAGGCAGGTAAGACGGAGGGACGTTACCAGGAGTGTGAACAGTGCAGTGCAGGTGAGCAGGGATCCAACTGACTTCAGGGTCCTGACCCACTTATAAGGCAAATAGGAACTTGTTTTCCAATTTCTTTAAAGAAAGATATATATTGAATCTTTAAGTGTCTTTAAGGCCTTCTTGCTGCTTTTAAACATTGTGCAATGTCTTGTTCTGACTGTCCCTGCACAGTCCCAGGAGGTAGGTGTGCGGGGCACCCAGGGGAACAAACGGGACACACGGGGACTGTCACAGAGCCAGGGAGCCCCAGGCAGCCGTGGACGTCACGTGGGTAGTTCTCCAGCACTCTAGGGCACAGCCCAGTCTACAGTGCAAAGCTCCTAGTCCATTTTTATTTTCTAATTTCAAGCTTTGTGTTTTGTAAATACTTAATCCTGAATGTTGACAAGTCTTCCAGGAGATGAAGAAAATTGTTGAAGTTTCACCTCTCCAGCTCTAAAATCCTCAGACATTCAGAAGTGCTGGCATGTTTCTGTGAGAGACTGAGATCAGCATATATATATACACACACACATATATATATTCCATTTCACATTTTTGTTTCTTCTGAAAACACTAGCGTTGAGGTACTGTGCTACTCAAGAGCTGGAAGACTCTTAGTGCTCCCAGTACATGAGTGCAGTTCAAGAGGGGAGTCATTTCCCATTCCCCAAGCATAGCTGCCTGGGCCATCGGGACAGGGCCACGCAGGGGGGGGCGCCAAGTCCCTGCTCCCGCAGCTGCCCCCGTCCCATGCAGGCGCCTCCTGCTCTCCCCACATTCCCCCCCCCCTACCGTGCTGCGACTGATACACGGCCTGCCTCCCCGCCGGCACCGGCCTGCAAAATGGCCGCCCCCCCCCCCCCCCCCCCCCCCCGGCAGCCTTTCCAGCAGGAGGCAGCCTGCTGAGAGCCTAAAGGCCGGGAGGAGCGTCTGCCTGTGCTTGAGTGACAGAAGCTGTACCAGAGACCGTTAGCCCCCCACCGTATAGTATGAGCCACTCACTACGCGGAATATTTGCTAGGACTCTGGAGATCAAGGCGAGGGTAAGAGTCCTAAGCTCTATCATTAGAAGGCAGGTGTGTGTTCCAGCTTCAGAACCAACCTTGACCTCAGGAACTCGGGGAAGCCCTCTGCCAATGACCCAGGCTGCCAGCAAGGTGCTGTGACGTCAAGTGTCAGACAGCAGTCTGGTCTCCTTTTTATCACAATTG